TTCTGGCCAGAGTAGGTCCCTTTGAAACTGTGTGCATAATACCTTTGACTAAGTTATATTATTTTTCTATCTTTCAGCTCTCTGTTAGCCTTCATTGATTATGAGCAGAGATCATAGAGTATCTACACGTAGTGAATTATCGGGAATACTTTTTTTGAATTGAACTTTTTTTTTAGATATAGTATAATCTAAGAGTTGCACACAATCTAATAGTTATTCCACAACCTATATTCATATTATCATGTCCGCAATTGTAACAAAGTACGTTGCAGACCACAAACTCAATAAAGAAATAAGTAATGAAGAATTTAGCCAACACACCCCAGCATTACTTGAGCTTTTAACAGATAGAGTGAAAAGAAATAAGGGTCGTCAGCGTTTTCAAGAAGGATATGGTTTTAGCAAAGAACAGACGTTTTTATTAATCTCTTCTCAAAGAACTGGTCGAAGTAAAAGTCAAGAAATCTCCAAAGAAGAGGGGTCAGAAGCCGGAAAAGCGAATCTATATTAAGTTTCCAATCTTATTCCAGAAGAAGAGACAGTCGAGAAGACAGTTCAGCGTATTATTTAGAATAGTCTTAGTGAAAAAGAAGTAAATGCTATAACCAAGGCCTTAGTTGAAACAGCGCCCAATGTTATTGCTGGTTCATCACGTATATCTAGACTTCGAAGAGAATTGCAGAAGCTTAATGCTTCAAAAAAAATAATCTCTGCTACATTGGATCGAGAGACGACTTGTGCATCTAATAAAATACAAATAAAGCATCGTAAACAACGTAAAAATAAAGGTATTGATTATCCAGATAAATTTTCATTAGAATCGGTTAGGGAGAGATTAGATAACTATGCAAAATACCTTATAGCTGATGTATCTAGTAAATCTGATGAACTAGCCCTAGCTGATGTTATGATAATGCTTTGTGCACGCTTGCTGAACTTAGAACATTATGCATAGCTAATGGTAAAGTAACTGGCTACATGAAAAACTGAGGCCAAGAAGATATTCCATGAGTGTTTAGATCATTAGAAAAGGATGAAGAATGGGTTAGACAACTACTTACTTGGATTCAGGATGCAATTTCTTCTAGGAAGTTAAGAGATCTAGGAAGACCCAAAGCCAAGTGGTTTAATCGATTCCTGAAAAAATATAATGTACCACTGCTTCCTCAATACTTATGCAAATTAGAGGCCGTGTTTGCTGTTATATCACATAGTATAAAGAATTTATCAAATGCTATGATAATTGCCAGTCAAGCACTTCGCCACAATCCTGACAACCATGTCTCTCCTGCGCAAAACTATACGATAGTCAATTATCGAAAAAGAGAAGAACATTATGATCAGACAAAAGCATTCAAGCTCTTCAATGAAAACTAATACCTTCTCAAAATAAATTTTCTTGGAGGGTGGGTTAGATATCATTTATTAAATTTATTTTTTCGTTTACCTAAGATATATCATACTATAAAATATTACGAAAATGACCTGATCAAAAGCATCCATCAGATAGTACACTTAACGAGC